TTCCAGTGAAATATATTTATGTTTGTGGTTGTAATGTGACAAAATATGGAAAAGTTCAAGGGGTATGAATACTTTTGCAAACCACTGTAGATCTATAGATTAGATGTAGGTCTATAGGTTAGATATAGATCTATAGATTAGATATAGGTCTATAGGTTAGATGTAGGTCTATAGATTAGATATAGGTCTATGGTTTAGATATAGATCTATAGATTCGATGTAGGTCTATAGATTAAATATAGGTCTATAGATTAGATATAGGTCTATAGATTAGATATAGATCTATAGATTAGATATAGGTCTATAGATTAGATGTAGTTCTATAGATTAGATATAGATCTATAGATTAGATATAGATCTATAGATTGATATAGATCTATAGATTAGATGTAGGTCTATAGGTTAGATATAGATCTATAGATTAGATATAGGTCTATAGGTTAGATATAGGTCTATAGATTAGATGTAGGTCTATAGATTAGATGTAGGTCTATAGATTAGATGTAGGTCTATAGATTAGATGTAGGTCTATAGATTAGATATAGGTCTATAGGTTAGATATAGGTCTATAGATTAGATGTAGGTCTATAGATTAGATGTAGTTCTATAGATTAGATGTAGATCTATAGATTAGATATAGGCCTATAGATTAGATATAGATCTATAGATTAGATGTACGTACTTCTATAGATTAGATGTAGGTCTACAGTTGTCCAGAACTCCTGAATGAAGGGCAGTTTTTTAGTATCTTCATGTCTTTGTACTTCATGCATTGGCTCTCAGCTTATGCATTGATCCTCAGTGTCTTCATAGTTTGCCCTGGGAGGTCCTGGTTTTCATGTAACTGGTGTTAACTAACCAGTGCTTCTTAATGTCTGTTGTTTTCATCTGTAATAAGCTTTTGAACAAATTTAAATGTAAACAACATCAATGTCAGCTTCATAAACTCGGTTACATTCCATAAATGGATGAGTGTAGTTCCCATCACAGGTGCCTACAAACACAAGATCACATTTGTGAGAAAACCAATGAACAGGTGTTGTTCTGTGTACAGATGTTCCTTAGTGACACGGACAGCCTCGCCTCATCACCCAAGATTGACATGAGATCTCCACCTGAACCTCCAGACAAACACACCCAAGGATTCTTGCAGGTAACCCTAAGCTCTGAACCCTGAAAGAACCATGACCTCAGAACCCTGAAAGAACCACAACCTCTGAACCCTGAAAGATCCATGACTTCTGAACCCTGAAAGNATGACCTCTGAACCCTGAAAGAACCATGACCTCTGAACCCTGAAAGAACCATGACCTCTGAACCCTGAAAGAACCATGACCCCTGAAAGAACCATGACCTCTGAACCCTGAAAGAAACATGACCTCTGAACCCTAACTTCTGTATTGTTTAGAGTGCTGCAGATCACATAAAGGAACAGATGACCTCTACCTGCTCTTCTGCAACTCAGTGCACCTTTCTAGAGAGACTGAATGCTGTGGAGGAGGAGCTTAATAGTAGTTCAGTCTACTCATATGACCAGGTAACTTCTGTAAATGCCCCCACCCCCCCGCTTTTTTTTCTCAATCTCACCTAATTGCCTCTTAGACTCTCAGCAGGAAAACTGATGATGATGGTGGTGATGAAGGATCCAGCTGTTTGGCGTTTCGGACGCGCTCCAAACATCCTCTGGTTAATGTTCCTCTGGGTCAGCTGGAGGCGGAGCTTCTGGCCCCTGACATCACAGATGACATGTATGAAGAGATGTCCACCCAGAAGGAGGAGGACCGTCACTGGACAACATGGCTGCAGGGGCTCATGGTGCCTGGCCCTGAAGGTCAGAGATCAGCAGTCTGGACCAACTCAACTTTGACAATCTGTTGCAGTTGAGGCCTCTTCATGTTCAGTTTGACTCAGAGCCTGCAACTTCAGGAGTGACTGTGGCTCAGAAGTCAGGGCAGGTGTCTCCCAATGAGAGAGTGTGAGGTTCAGTTCCACTAGCTTCCAGTTAAGTGTTGGACCTGTCCCTGGCAGGGGTGGAAATTAAACCTTTCCCACCAGCCACAGTGGCTGGTAGAAAAGGTTTTGTACTGGCCACTCAAACTTTTTTATCAGCCACTATTGTTGTTTCTGTAACAGGGTGGCATTTAGAKAGTTCATGGTCCTGGTGGCCTAATTAAATTGTTTGTGCTACAATCAGATAATAACACTCAAAATCTGTTAGTGTCTTACAGCATTCAAGCCTGTTGGACAYAATTAAACTGATGGACTTTTTGAAGTCTCCACTTCTCTTACTAACTTGTTTTTTGCTGGTATGTAGGTGGAATACCAGTTATTTTAGGTAGGACACTTGGCTGGAAAAAAGCTTTTTAACCTTAATAATATAGGAGAAATTTTTAAGGTGGGAAAAAAACAACTAAATTACCTATGGTAAATTTATCTCCTTCATTTAATAAAATCAGCCTTTGTCTTTTCTCACTTGTAGTTTTTATTCTACAGGCTACTAGTATGAATATGTGTCTTCTGGTCTAAGTGAGATTTCAATAACAGATGAAATCTCTTCAGATTATTGTCTCACAGTGATCATTTCTGGTTTTACTTTGGAAAAACTTCAAGTCACTAGCTTCATTTTCTTACTTAGTTTGACTGGTTTTTGTTTTGTTCTGCATCAAAACATAGCCTGCAGAGAAAAGTTTAGGGGAACAAAGGAGCAGATTGATTATGTATTTATTTATTTATTTATTTATTTATTTATTTATTTATTTGTTTATTTATTTATTTATTTGTGTATGTAATTTTTGGAGCTGTCAGCTGATCTT